CATACAATATACCCGAGTCCAGATGTATTATAGAAACACCGCATACTCATTCTAAGTGCTCAAAGTTGACATAAACAATGTGTTTATACCTACCCCTACATCTATGTGTGATGAAGTGGATATGTTCCTGAACTCAGCATCCATACTCGAGGTACGATATCCAACTGAAACACTTTAAACTCCGTATCCACTTATGGATCTTAGAAACAGGTAAAATCCTCAAAAGCACAGGTAAGCCTCTCACAGCACTGTTAACAAACACCATACTTAATCATCATGGTGACGTCACAAGCTATGTTCACAGCAGCTGAAACATCAAGTCTCAGACTTTGGCGCGAAAGCTTGTCTGTCAAGGAAGAGTTCAGAGAGGTCTACAGTATCAACGTATGCACGGTAAAGCACAACACATATGGTATCGGCTAAGCTCACGAATTCAATGAAATTTCAGAATCAATTCATTTCAGAACCCTGCTGGCTGTTTTACTTGGCAACGAAGAGACTGTTCTTCTATTTAAGTGTGCACTGGTAATAATAAAAATACCACACATTGATCAGCTACTTTACATTCAATATTAGTAGACCTACTTTAGTTTCGTACTTATTCAATTGCTGATAATGATTAACAATATACCTGATTTATTGGGTATTTACGTATAACTGATTTTAAAAAACAACTCACGTTAGTTTCGTTTCCGCACATTAAATAATAAAGTGAAGTTACATACAGTTTCACACAAATAAGTATTCTTACATTTCATTAAACGGACAGGAGGTTAGTTTCGTACATTTTATAAGTTTCACACAACTGATGGTTCACGAGGTTAGTTTCGTACAAATGATGATAAACTGGGGTTAGTTTCGTACAAATGATGATAAAGTGAGTCTGCTTTCGCCCCGTCAATGACAAATTGGGTTAGTTTCGTACAGTTCATGACGAAATGGGTTTACATTGGCATGCCGTTGATGTCGGATTGAGTTAAATTTCGTACTTTAAGAATTGTGTTTGGAAACATTTTCAACTTAATATATCAAGACAAAGGATGAAGAGAACAAATTATTCCGCTGATGTCTGGGTTATCATTATCGATGTTGTTTCTCCTTCCCCATTTCTAGAAGTACATTGCTTGGCTTCATTCCAAGTCCAGATTTGTCATCAAGTCAATCGAGTACACGACCATTTCACGAACAACACGTGAGGATGTCTAACAAACACCACGTGAGGATGTCTAACGAACACCACGTGAGGATGTCTAACAAACACCACGTGAGGATGTCTAACAAACACCACGTGAGGATGTCTAACGAACACCACGTGAGAATGTCTAACGAACACCACGTGAGGATGTCTAACGAACACCACGTGAGGATGTCTAACAAACACACACTGTTCCACAAAAGTGCTGAGTATGACTGTTTTCTATTCATTATTTGTACATTGACAGTTAGGTTTTGTCAGTTTAACGCATGTGTACATCAATTCATGTACCCCATCAATGCATGCACATGCACGTTCGTATATCAATCTTACGGAGACTAGCAGAACAGCAAGCACCTGTCGAGACTTTCAGAACCACCAGCCTCGATAATTCCTACTCCGTGGAATAAACCTTATCACTTACACGTGTACCGTCTGTTCTACAATCCCGGAGTTGTTAAATTCTAATAAAGTGAACTACACGTGTTTTGCGTGTTCTAGAACAAGCTGTATCTCGTTATACAACAATTACATCTTTTTTTTCAGTCTCGTGACTCACCGTTGTACGGAGTTATATCAGGTACAGTTGTATTTCCATTACAGTAAAATATGTGTTCTCTACAACCTATCAATGAAGGAAAATTCTAGAAATTTTGAACGTTTTATTCACATTTTTAGGTTTAGTTTTGAATCAATATATAAAACAATATCAATGTTTATGCAAGATCTCACTGATTATCGAGGACGAGACTTCATCACGAGATTTCATCTGGGATATACATAAATATTTAAGGTAAAACAGTACAAACTAATATTGAGTTTGAAATGACCTTTGTAAAGCATGTAAACAACACAACAAACTTGTTAACTACACGATCAACATATGTTAATAGAAAGGCTGTCAGGTTTCTCCATCAAATATCAACACTCGCACGCGCGTTTATATAAATAAGGTGATTTGTTTCAACAACAAATAAATAAAGGCGTTACCATATGTTTGTGTATTAGGATATTTTAGCAAACAAATTGGTGTTTTGGGCTACAATGCATGTAGGTAGGTAGTGGTAGAAACCGTAGAGCCCTGCTCCAAAACATGTTCGTCAAGGCACAGGGACTTGCGAATCAAATACAGTACAAGCCCTGACATGATGTTTGTTAAAACGTCTCCTGATCAACAGTGAGTATTACTCGACGTTTTCGGAGTTGAGATCATTTAGGTGGCATTTTTACCGAACATTGAACTAAAAATGTCCTTCGCACCAGGAAAGTTTTAAACATACATACTGAAATGTATTTCTCCCAGTGCGTCAGTGTTACTACATACCAGTGAACATCTGAGTATGATTACGTTGTTACCGTGTAAAGCGTGTCCAGCTTTCCTTAACAGTCTTCAATCAATGATACCATCTAGCACTGTTATCCTTCCAATGCGTGTCCGACTTGACTTAACACCATCAGTCATCTCGTACCGTAATTCTACCAAAGCGTGTCCGACCAGACTAAATACTTCTTCAATTCATCAAATCATCTCGTACTGCAAGTCTACAATAGCGTGTCCGACTTGACTTAACACCATCAGTTATCTCGTACCGTAATTCTACCAAAGCGTGTCCGACCAGACTATATACAATCTTCAATCCATCAAGTCGTCATGTACCGTAGTCCCACCAAGGAAGTGAATCTTGACTGATCAATATTCGCCTGAAGAAATTGAGAAGCACGTCACAGCAATCGTCAAAATGACCATCAAGATAATATCGAACCGTCAACAAATAGCTAATTCGAACTCAAAGCCGATAAACTAGGGCAACAATATGAACAAATAAAAGACAACCTTGAAAACAAGACAAACACAGAACACTTGAAAAAATACAAGAATTGGACCAGGTGTTCTTAAAGGGTAAGTACCCTTTGCTTCATCAGCGACACCCGCAATAATAAAATCTACGTCAAATCCAGATAAAAGCACGTTCTCATAGCGGGAAACAGGATAGTGACTATAAAACAACAATGTACACTTACCAACACTCTAAACTTGACGTGTTAATTAGATATTACATGAACTGTAACAATAAGGCCCCTGGTATGTATTTATAGTTTGACTACTGGCGGCACTAGAGCTACGATCTACTGGCAAGTTTGAAAGTTCGGAAGATGCAACATGCGCTAGAATTGCAACTTCAAACTCTCATAACTCTACTTGTTTGTAAAAGCTTGTCATACGTATACAGGCACCGTCAGATTAAGCATTTTATAATTCATTAAAAGTTTGCTGCAAACCGTTAGATTTAATTATAAACGTAGCATTTTGCATACGCATGCGATATTAAATTATGTGTATATGCGCTGGAAAGCTGTCTATAGTGAAAGCTTAGTCCGGTTAAGTGTATATTTTTGGGTAAAGGCTATTTGAACGATAACGTGTTTAGGTACGAATAGCTTCTGAAAGAATTCGATAGTATTCCGTATTTGCGCATTGCAGAGTTATCTTCTCTTGTGAGCAGGTATTGATTGTTACGTCATTGGTTTGTGTGAGAAAATTACGTCGTTTTCTCAAAAATTGATGACGTTACTCTCACAAACAAATGACGTAACAATCAATACCTGCTCTCAAGGGCAGATAACTCTGCAATGCGCAAAGACGGAATATAATACGCGTGCGTATTTCTGTCGGTCTCTTTTAGAAGGGTAGCTTTGGAGGCATTAAAGAACATGTTAACATAAATCATTGCTGGCGTTATCAGGTACGCCATAGTCGTCAAATGGTTCAGAGGCTCAAACAAATATGCTTTAATCAGAATCAAGGTATATACGAGTACACGAGCATACATACATTTAATATTTACATTTGCATGGCATTGTCACTATATAGCCTCTTTGAAAGCTGTGTCGTTGATGGGACTTTAATTACCATGCCGCACGAGACATAATTACCATGCCGCACGAGACACAATTCTTAGCGTATTAATTACAACACTGACCGGAACTACAATATCCAATGTAAATAAACATGACGGCTGCTGAAATATCGCTGGGCATTGTGAGATTTGATAATGTCATTGTAAATTTATGTGCAAAATAAAAAATAAAATAAAAAACACTTTTATTACAACGAAAACAAGACCAAGGTCTGCAATATCGTACAAAATGCACATCGGTTGAAATCACCAATGCCGGCAATGGAAACAATTTTAACGCTCATGCAATTTATCAGAAATATCGTCTGTTACACTGCACTGATCAACAGGGGTTCGTTATAAATGTCTGAAATACACATATTCTATAGACCTACTGACACATATGTTACAGACCTACTGATNGTGCGAAATTTGTTCCGGGGGAAAATCGAAACAATTTCAAATCTAACTTTCAGCTCAGATTTCTATTGAAAAACTGGAATCATCCTATAGACATATCATACGCAATTGTATTGATACTAAATTGTGGAATAAATTTGAAGTGTTTGTTAAAATGTCAAAGTACTACTTTGTTTGCCAATCAGCACGCGACAATACGCTATTCAAACTATTGAACGAAATTGTGTGGACTGTCGATAAGGCGGGCATTTTTAATTTTAATTATAAATTATAAGTTAAAAAAGAACATAAGAGGTAGAGAAAACGTAAATATAAGTATTGAACTGTTTTTGTATGGTATTTATGATCTATTTGAATGACACAGCTTTGCAAGCAAACAACATAATGCGCGCTAACAGTTCAATGCTTAATTACCCCTTTGAGAAAAATCTAGGAATCTGATTGGTTAAAAACTACAGTGTACCAAACCGCATTCGTAAATCTCAGAGGGTATACGAAAATCTCAGGGGGTATACGGTCATGTCACGTGATTCTCAGCAGTAATACGGTGGAATCACGTGATTTTACAAGGGTTATACGGGTCACGTGTCTTTGTATCTTGCGACCGGGCATCGGGAGACAACTCGCATTCGTCGTCTGCTTCGCTGTTTACAAAATGGCAAAACGTTTCGCTTCGCATACTGATGAGGAAGTAATCGTCAAAAGGACTAACTTTGTGCCACATAACACACAAAAGTCGAACAGACGATCGGCAAACATGCTGAGGACGTATTTAAAAGAAAAGAATCAGGAAGAACAGTTCGAGGAATTTGATAAAACGAAACTAAATGAGGTACT